TCTGGGAGGCTGAGGCAGCAAGATCAAAAGTTAGAGTCCCACCAGAGGAAGTTAGTGAATGCCTGTCTCAATATGAAAAATAAAAAGGGATCGGATGTAGCTCAGTGAAAAAGGCCTGGGTTCATTTCCCAGTACTTTCAAAAAAGATACAAAATATTTCCACTAACCTAAAAATGTTCCCTCTTGATTCCTATTATTGACTCACCTTTCCAGAAGCAAATACTGTTCTAATTTCTCTATTGTCATGTTATCTCTACTGATCTTGAACTTTCATAAATATGAGCACAGAGTATGTAATCTTTAATTACCAATTTCACTCACTCAATATAATATTTCTGAAATGCGTTTATGCTATTGAGGGTCTCAGTAGCTCAGTGGTTTTGTTTTGTGTGAGTTTTGGTTTTGGTTACTTATATTCCAATGTATGCATATACTAACATTTCCTGTGTGGGCGAGCTTTTGGATCCTACATTTGGATTCTCTAACAAACAAGATCTAGTTTAAGAACATGGGATAAGGACCACAGAAGGCCCTGTGACATCAGATAAGTCTCTGACGCCAGTTAAATGAAAAGCTTCCTTTTCTTTTCCATGCAGTGACTCCAAGCATAGAAATTTCACTGGCTATCCAGTTTCACAATGCAGAAGACCCAGGAGATCATAATCATGTCTGTAGACCCTTAGAAAGAATTTTTATCTGTTTTTCTAGAATAGAAAACAAGGGATATTCTAATTCATCCTTCAGGCTACGGCCATACCACCCTGAACACTCCCGATCTCGTCTAATTCATCGCTCAAATATAGCTGGAAGGGTACCTCCAGCCTCCGGCCTTTCCACAATCCTGAGAGAAAAATCTCAGTTCCTCATTTGTGCTGCAGTAAAGACTGTTTGTGTCTCACACAAGCCTTTGTTACAGACCTTACTAGTCTATACCATTAGTTTCTTTGTAGAGCTGATTCTACTTTCTACCAAAGTAAAGTGAGATTATCCTCAAAGAAAAGGACAATCTTTTTTTAAAGTTGGTTTTGCATCCCTGGCATCCCGTACAGTGATTACACACAAATCTTGTAAATGAATGGGCAAGTAGATGACGGTCCAGATGGCTGGGTGGGTGGATGAATGGATGGATGAAAGGATGCATGGGACAATTGGAAATATTGCCATGTTGCCTATAAGTAGAATAACTTGCCTGGTCTTTAGCAGTCCCAAGCAGTATCGGGGTATGAAGTATCTGCTTGCTCCCTCTGTCACATACTCTCCTTGGTCTTGGAGTTCCTACTGATCTACCCAATAGGCAAGTGTCTGAGTAACATCTAGAACAGGTGGAACTTCCCTGCCATTGATTGGCTTCCCTCTGCTTCAGCAAACATTTTCTTAAGAGCTGAAGGCTGGGCAGAGTTGCTGTTAATCTCCAACCATATAGCCCAGAAGTCAATCTGGATGCAGTGGAAATCTTCCCAGTGTAGGACAGGCGCCAGGGTGGAGTGAGTGGCAGAGATTCTGCTGCAGCAGGAGGCTGGTTAAACATAGCCTTGTGGGTAACTGAAAGGTGATGTTGAGCCCATTAGAGAGCTTTGTAACACTGTGAATAGCATTTAGCGCTCAGCTGTTTCTCACCCACCTCTCAGATGGTCCCAGCAGGAAACAAGTCTGTGCCTGTCATGTTTATAGCTAATTAATGTTTATTTATATTTCTAAATAAGCCTTTCACCTGTCACGCTTTAAAATAAATGTTCTGCTCTTCAATTAGAGATTGTCAGAGCAGAAAGGAATCCTGTCTTGTTGTGGGCTTAATGTGTGTGTGTATAGATGTGTATTAGATAGGGAGATCGTTCCTTCTAAATCTCTTTTCTCTCTCCTCCTGGAAGCTAAAGCTTTTTGCTCAGAGTTACGTTTTCTCTAGGTTTCAAACATGAGAATGGACAGAACTTGCTCCCAGAGGATCAACAGCGGAAATCATGGTGCTTGCTAGAATGAAAGGTATGGCAGTCTGCATAACAATGTTGTACACTTTAGCCAGTATAAAGCCAGGATTTTAAAGGGGAAATTTTTGCTTTGTTCTTTTGCAAAATAGGGTCAATTCAGTAAGTCTGCAATATTCAAACACTGCACATTTCAAAGACTACTCTGCCCATTGACCAGTTCCTGGGGGACATACACCTTTGGAATAATCTTTTGGATATGTGTGTGTTTTTTAGCTAGGGCCTCAGACTATGCCATATACTTGATGCTAACAATGTGGGTTCTGGTGAAGGTCTTTGGCTATGAGATATCATTTTGGGTTCCACAGAAGCCTAGAGGCTGTGTAACTAGAATAGCCACGTGAAGTACTCACTGACTCCCAGTAAAAACCCTGGACTTATTCATGGGATAGAGTATGATGTTTCAACTATATGTATACATTGGTAGTGATCAAAGTAGAACAATTAACATTTCCATCTCTTTATAATTACATTGTGCTTGGAGGAAGCAAGTTCTCCTCTAGTTGTCTGTAAAATATACAATAGATTATTATGGACTGCAGCCTCTCCACTATAATGGAGAATACTAGAATTTAACACTTCTACCTTGCAATGTTTTAGTACCCACTAGTCAACCTCCTTCTACCTCTCCTTCCTCCAAACTTTGCCAACCTCTAGTAATTACTATCTGTTGGGGACCACTACAAAGTGTCTCTGAGCTGGATTTAATATGAACCAATTGGCCTTCTGTGTTTACTTGTGAGTTGTCTGAAGGCCACAGCTGAGGATGTCTGGCCCCAACCCCAATTAACTTAAAGGAGACGGCAGCTGCAGGCATCTCACTCCTGCTGTGAAGGACTTCTTGGAGATACCATAGTTCTCCTGTTTGACATAATTTACAATTTGAAAAAATTCTCCAAAGGTCCTGTGAGAGTCCGGCATTTTGTTGAGTATCTTCCTCCTTTGTTTAAAAACAAAATAAATATGGGCAGCCCAGAGCAGTCTTTGGCTAACTCTGAGAATACTAAAGCGGTAAGAGAGTTAGTCCCTCTTGGTGCCCTAAAATCATTACATTGTCTCATTTATGTAAACCTTCGACAACCACTTGCTTGGGAGATTACAGGCCCCATCAGCCTGCCATAACTCACTGTTATTTAACCCGGTTTTTGATAACTATCAGATCGCCTTTTGTGGCAGCCATACAAAAGAAAACTTGAAAGATTTGTCTTTCGGTGTCTATATGATTACCAAAACTGTTTTCATAAATGTTTCAGGAGGTGGGAATGCTAACTGCCCTGATTTGATCATTATACTCATTATATACATGAATCAAAGTACCAACTGTGCCACAAAATAAATAGGTACAATAAAATGATAATAATTTAAAAGGACACTAAAACCCAGATGAGATTCCCTGTTGGCAGTTAGAAGGCTGCCAGAGATGAAGTGTTGTCTCACACCTCATCTAGAAGGGGACACCTGGGGACTCACAACTGGTCCTACCTGGACACCATGGTATGCCTTTTGCCTTTGCTGGTTATCTGTATTTTTCCATGGGAATAAGCTATAAGGATGCATATATCATTATGTCCTTCTGGGTGGTTCTGGAAACACCGACACATTCTTTCAATGAGTAGGTAATGAAGAGAGGTTGGATTGCAGAGAGAACAACACAGCAGAACTGATTCCCAACTCTGCCATACACTTCCGGTGACCTCAGCAAAATCATCCGACATGTTGCTCTCTTTTGAGATAAATATGAGTGTATGTTATAAACTCATCCATTTTTCAACAAACACACATTAAAAGTGCTTCAATTTGTTTACATACAAGATGCTTACAAAGAGATGACTAAATTGGCCAATCTGAAAGTTTCTTCATTCCATGTTAACTTTCTTGGGTTAGGAAAGGACTCTCAGTTTGGACACATGGCCCTCCACATCTTTGCACACAGGTATGTTCACAGTTTGTAGTTAATGAATAAGCATTTCCCTGTGGTTGCTTAGCTGTCATTTCCTCTTTCTTACTTTGAGCCAAGACCTCGTTTTTGTCCCAAACTAGAGGCCCAAGAGAACAGCCTAGATATAAAAGCACCTAGAAGAGTGCCAGAGTCATGTTTGGAATTTCGTAAGTTCAACATGAATAGGAACATCTAGAGGGTTTTTTTCAAACACTAATGCTACTTACATTTTCTTCCTTGTTAAAAAAAAAAAAAAAAAAAAAGGGGCTGGGG